GGTTGGCCACAATAATATGGCGTTTTGTATATTATTGAGGCACTCTACATTATATTGTACTAGGTATATCTTCCCTTTCTCTCTTATCTAATCTACCTGATAAAAGTAAACTACAAAATACATACAGATGCGCTTACAATACATGTACAGAAATGCAACAGATCTGAATAAGAGCGACCGACTTCATTTCAATAAGATTATTTTATTTAAAGGTCAATAAGTTATTATCCGCTAATTTATTATTAATTTTATTTATATTTATTATTATATATATTTATAATGTTATAATATATTATGATAAATAAAAATAGCTTGCAAATTAGATTCCCTTTGTTTTGTTCACTTTTAAAATTGCATATAGTTTTCATCTAAACTATCTATTTTTTTATACTAATACACAAAGTAAATAGTGCAAAGTAAAGAAAAGAAATTTTTTATTCTCAAATCCTGACTTTGATATTTCAAAAATTGTTTGCAACAATTCATGACTTAAATTTAAGCACTTAATCGTTATTAATAAATTCGTTATATTTTTTTCATAAAAGTCTGATCACTAAACTTTAATTTCCCGTTGCATATTTTTCTCTATAATAATTGTTTCAAAAATTATAATTTTTTTATTATAACAGTATATTTTTCGTTTCTCACTTTATATATTCGCAAAAATAACATATTTAAACAAACTATCGTATAGTATTTCTATTCAGATCTCAATTCGGAATGTTTGAAGATATTACCTGAATTTTTTCAAATTTTTTCAAAGACTTTTATCCGCGTAAAAACGTGTGGGGTCAATCTGACTCCCGTTTACAGTGTGAGGTTGCAAGAAAACCTTTACAAGGTAAAGATTAAATATAAACTTGACATAATTTTAGTAAAATGAATAGCATTATCAGACTGTACAAATTATTTGAAACATTTTTCGATGAAATCCTTGATTTTCGAGAAAAATTTCAATTTGTCATTTAAAAGGATATATAAAACTTCTTTTCAGTATCTCTACCTGAATTTCAAAAAATAATAATTCATTGAGTGTTGTTTAAATATTGTAGCAACATAAAGAATCAACGTAGAAAAAACAATATAGATTCAATGTTGGAAAGATATTTATATTTCAACATTTACCATTACAACATCTCAGCAACGCTATTTCAATTTCCTGTGCTGCATGGGAATATATCTAGACTGAGCGTTGAGGAGTGAGGTAGAGATTCACGTAGAAAGATGGTTGAGATGGTGCGTTTTCTCTCATATACACTCACATACCATGCGCGAATGAGAGAGAACGCACCATTTCAAAACACAGTCCTTTTCTACGTACACCTTATCCCCACTCTTTAAATAAAGATAAACGCTCGATCTAGATATATTATGTCTATGGCTTAGACAGGCCAAGAGGGAAATATCCTCCCTCCATAGGTTATTTCTTACTTCCATGGTTTAAAGTAAAAACGGTAAAAATAACGGTTATATTTGCCGGCATAACGCAAAAAAATTTAATGGTAACTATCCCCAGATAATAGACAAAATATTTATAAAATATTTACAAAATATTTATAAGATTTATTTGAATATTTTATAAATATTTACCAAAATATTTTATAAATATTTTTATAATCTTAGCTTCAATAGATCATAAATATTTATCATGAATATTATAAAAATATTTATTAAAATATATAACATTTATATATGTAACTTTTTTCTCTTTCCTGAACTTTTCTTAAATTTTTAAAATATATAGTCTATAGTTCTTAGTTTTCACTTTATATTGTTTCACATGCTACTTTAATTCAAGTTAAGTTGTACTTCGAAAATTTGCTTACCATTGCCGAGATTTGAGAACCTGAGACCTCTGGTTCTTAAATCGTTCACCTTACTGCGCCACTGTCACTTTGACTGTCACTGTGATTGAGAGACGCTTTGTATTGTATATATATGGTATATCCATGTACGAAAACAAATGATTTATTTAAAAGAAGAGAATAGATCCTTTTAAATGTAAAATGTATATTTAAAAAGTATATAAAAAGTATATAAAAAATATTTAAAATATATATATTTTAAATATATAAAAAGTATTTAAAAAATATTTACTTGTTTTAAAAGTAAATAAAATACAAATAAATCATTTTGTAAATTTAAATAAATTGTTTTTTGATAATAAAAGAAACTTTAATTTGAAACACGAAAAAGATACTTTTAATATTAGAAAATAATTTATTTAGATTTATAAAATGATTTACTTGTACTTTATTTACTTTTAAAACAAGCAAATATTTTTATTTAATTTGAAACAAGCAAATATTTATTTAAATTCAGTTTTTACATACAAAAAAAAACTAATTTTCTTCTTGTAAGAAAATCTTTTTTTTTCTAGAAATTTATAATTTGACAGCTCATTTTACAAATTTTAAAAAATATTACTTAATATTTATTATATATTTTATAAAATTTAATAAATATTTTTTTAAGTTAAGAAATTATATTTAACAAAACATATTTCTTTGATTTAAAGAATTTTTTTCAGTATACATTACCAATTTAAATTTCGGTTTTCTTATTTCTTTATCAATTTAATAATTATAAATAATTACATTTATTTTTTTATGTATACTATTTATAGAAATATTTACAAAATATTACTACAAATATTTATTTTTTGTTTACTATAAATATTGTATAAAATATTTAGCCTATATTTTAATAATATTTTGATACTTTTTTCTTTGTATATAGAAATTTATAAAATATTTATATAATATTTTTAAAAAATTATTTAACATAAATATTTATGAATCTTTATCATAAATATTGTATGCTGTCTGGGTCATTACTAATAATTAAAATGATTTTTATTTGTATCACAATTTCTTATTACTCAACTATTTAATATTGTTTAAATATAGTTTAAATATTATTTAAATATTGTTTAAATATATTCAATCATCTTCTAGATATATTCCTGAAAGATAAGATTTCGTCCGCTTTGGCACTATTGTAAGATGTTACAAGTAATATATTACTTCCTAACCCTGATTTCTTATATCAAATTAAGTTTTTTCAAATTAATTGAAATCATTCAGTGGAAAAAGCTTAGTGAGCACTTAGTGATTATTGTCTATGTAGCATTCTTTTAGATTCTTCGTAGACCTAACAGTACTTATCAATCAGGAGCGATAATCATTAAGCGTTCCCCAAGTTGCTCATATTAGATGAATTGTGCGGAATATCAATACTTTCCTTATGAGAGACATGCCCATACAGCACAATAATGTTGAATCAATGTTGAAAGAATGTTGAATTGCAACAATGTCAATATTGCAGCAACATTGAGAAACAGTGAATCAACGTTACACAAACCTTAATATAATATAATGAAAAAATATCCGCGATTGTTGATTTTTCCTTGACATTTCTTATTTATTTTTATTGTTTCATAAAAAGACCTAATTCCTAACTTTCTCATGTCTTATAACTGCTAGAAATCGAATTGTCAAACACACTCTAAAACTTTCGCGAATCCTCCCTCGATAATTTCGAATCCGAAGCGGTATGCCGGGTCACCCATCTATCCTGACTGCGTTGCTTTAAACTGACGATCGAGCGGCACGCGGTGATTCCAATGATTCAAACGATGTTCTTACAATGCTTATAAAATGTATACTTACAGTGTTCACAATATATTATAACGTACCTAGCAAATACACGCGTTGATTCGCTTATCTATTTTATTCAATATTTCTAAAGTTTATATAGTTATTTCCAAAATGACTTCGACCATTCTTTCCAGTTTAATGTTTTTTATGCATTTTTTGTTATCGATACAGCTTGCGTCAGACTCTATATAATAGAGAATATTATGAAATAAAAGAATATTCAGGATTTGGGCAAAATTGCTTAAACACATTTCAATTTACATATAAATAATAAGAAAAATATATATGATATATGAATAATATATATGATTATGATATATTGTAATATAATATATATAATACATATATATTAATATAATAATATTAATATAATAAAATTTAATAATAATTTATTTTATAATTATTATTATATAGAATAACAAATTTTTCATTAATATTATCAATAATATAACTTTCAATGCTCTTCAAATATCGTTGCAAAAAATTGTACTTTTTGTTCAATATATATTTAATATTGCAGCAATATCTTGTAATCAATGTTGAAAAATCAACATAAATTCCATGTAGAAAAAACATCCATGCTTCTATTTTCAATATTGCAACGTCTCATCAAGGTTTTTTCAACGTTCTGTGCTGTATGGGATGGTATTGCATTTTCATTTTAATGCAGTTTGACCAGAAATCTCGCCCTGTAGCACTGGTAGTATTGAGAGGGGATGACGCACACAAACGCACACACGTATATGTGCACTTTGAACTTGGTTGGAGCCAATATGTACAGGGGCACGTTTGTTGCGTCATGTCCTCTCAATACTACCGGTGCTACTGGGCGAGATTTCTGGCCACACTGCTTTAAGGTTCATCGAACTTTTCTTTTGATGCAACTTAAGACAAGACAGAACAGTGCGAGCACTGTTGCTTGCAAGTAATTGCGTCATTCTACGTCTTTATTTACAAACGCAAAAGAATCACGTGGTACAATTTGACAGTTTTGACACGATACTTATTTCATTCGTCAAATAGTTACCGAATAAATAGTTTATCGACAGACGTGCTGTTGGATATTGTTATCGACGCACGTTATACGTTATTCTCTAATACGTAAACGCAATAAAGCAGTGTGTATGTGCGATTGTAAGTTTTTTAAATTTAATTTTCCACGCGACACTACGTAAGCAAGGACTTTTGACGTATGAGGAAAACAACAAGATTAATATTGTCGCGATATCGATAATTGATACAGCTTGATCTGTCGCGGATACGCCATGTGGTCGGTAAGAGAGGAAAAGTGCGACGACGGTATCATCATCGACCAGAATAGCAATCTGGTCGTTAGTACGAGCGACTGAAGCGCTCGTGTACTTCGTGTCGCGCGTACAAGGTTGACTTCGCGAGCCGAAGAAGTCGTTTGAACTGTTCACGTAGTGACAGTGGATTGTGGGTCCGGGGACGAGTGGTCGTTGCAACCTCGATTAATCCTTACACAATCAGACCTTGCGGGCCGAAGACATCATAATCAGAGGTATCATTCACCATACGTTATCGCGCGATGAACTTATAACGATGTTTCTGTTTGTCCCAAACACTTAACCTCACTCTCACGCTCCGATAAAAGACACTTCACGAGCGACAATTTCTATCGTGCGTCGCTCTTCCGTGGCGATTTCGCTCTCGCGTTCATCTGTTAGCTCGCTCCACTCTGCATTCCGGTCTTACGTGACGTCCACTGTGATGAATTCTTGTTGTTTACTCACGATCCATAACCTGCCTGGCTGGGACGTAGACTTGCAGAATGTCACTCTGGTGACAACCTCTTCTGCAGGATGTAGAATCATATGCCGCGTGTACAGATTGCACTTTGAAGTCGCTTTGAGTCGCAATGATACTTATAGACATTATTTCGGTAGTTATTTCATTGATTGTTTGGAAATTTATAGTGATATGAAGAAGGAAAAGCCGTGACGGAGGTAATCTAAAGATAAGAGCAGTCCCGGTGATCGCAGGAATATCTAGCCAAATGCCTTCAGCTACTGGTGGGTAAAATGTAGACTATATGTATTATATCTTTGCTTGCGACACAAGACATATGTAACAATACTCTGTAAATAAAAGCTATTGTGCAACAGAATTAATGCATTGTCATACAGATTGAGAGTCATGTGTGTGAGAGTATATATCAGTACATATATAGTCAACCATTGAACAATGCTAGGAACACCAACGATAAGATATGCATATGTATCCAATTTGTTGAAGTAAAGAATACGTAGGAAATAAAGAAGCAACAGCTTCTAAATAAAGGTTTATATATGAAGAAGTATAAGGAATCGCTTTGACGCTTTGATTTTGATAAAGACTCGTAGTGAAATGAAGTGTATTTTGTAGTAAAATTTAGGAATGCATTGTTAAGAAGGTACAGTTAGAGAAAATTCAGTGTCTTTAACACTGGATGCTAAACCAATCAATTAAAATTTCTTCAATCAATTAAGATCAATTAAGAACATTGTAAACAAAGAAGCTATACCCAAAGGGAAAAATGTTCTACCTTTATGAAAAGCAATTACTCAATTCATTATTTAGTTTATTTTCTTTTTTTTAAATAATGATTATCTTATGTTCAAAAACAAAATTTTCCTAATAAAATGATCTTAAAGTGTACTCACATATTTTAGAAAATTATATATTGAGAAAAAGAATTTATTGTGTTTATAAGAATATAATAAAACTTTATTGAGAAAAAAGTTGTTTTACTCTGTGTAAACAAATAAAATTTTTAATTTGATATTCTTAATTTAATATTCTTAATTTTAATTTAATATTCTTCATTGAAATATTACTAGGATTTAGAATGCATTTTGTATAAACTTGATGTTTATGATGAATTTATGATAGATTTATGGATATATAAACTTATGAAACAAATAATATTTGCTTGAGTGCCATATGCGTTTTCCTATTACTTTTTACTACTTGCATAAGATACAAGAAATTATGTCTCTGAAGTTTGCTTTTTTTTAATTAAGGTAGACTTTCCTGTTTCTGATATTCAGTGACGATATAATCTTGTAAAATATAATTTACATCTTATCATAGATTTTCTATATTGTGCCAAATATTAGCTCCGTATCTCATATGATGACCAAAATATGGAATGTATAAATATGGAATATATAAATGTATGGAAAATTCATTGAAATCTCTACTCATCCTCCATCTTATTGAAACAATATATATTGACTATGAAATATTTTCAGGCGGGACCAACCCAATAGGGCAGCAGAAGGTTGGAGCAACTCTGCCCAGTAATGAAGAATGTGGAATCAGAGATGTATGGGGACATAATTTGGAAGAGGAATTTCGCACAATACGCCAAATCGTGCAACAATATCAGTATGTTGCGATGGACACAGAGTTTCCTGGTGTTGTAGCTAGGCCTATTGGTAAGAAAGCATAATATCTGAGTAAATTTTATGAGATATTATTATGCCGAGAAGCAGATTATGATTTTTTTCTTTGTTATTTGCAACAGGTGAATTTCGGACTAACGCCGATTACCAATATCAGCTCTTACGTTGCAATGTAGATCTGTTACGGATAATTCAACTTGGTCTTACATTCCTTGACGATTCGGGGAATACACCGGGTGGCTATACAACCTGGCAGTTTAATTTTAAATTTAACTTACAGTAAGTTTGTATTATTAACGTCTAAAGTACATATTTCGGGGTGGCGTATTATAATAATTGTGAGAGAATAAGTTTCTAACCATACATATATTCAATATTTTTTAAACTTTTTTTTAAGCAATTTTGGTAATAAGGTATGTACATTTTGTTGTTGCTAGTGAAGACATGTATGCACAGGATAGTATAGATATGCTACAAAATAGCGGCATACAGTTCAAGAAACACGAGGAAGAAGGCATCGATCCCTTAGAGTTTGCTGAACTTTTGATGACATCAGGGATTGTCCTTGTTGATGACGTTAAATGGCTATCCTTCCATTCTGGTTATGATTTTGGTTACTTATTAAAACTCCTGACGGATCAAAAGTTGCCGCAGGAAGAAAGTGAATTTTTTGAACTTCTTAGGATATACTTTCCGAAGATATATGATGTAAAAGTAAGTACAAAAAATTGTGTAAAAAACAAATTAGAATATATATTTTTATTTTTTTGTAGTACTTAATGAAGTCGTGCAAGAACTTAAAAGGTGGCTTACAAGAAGTGGCAGAACAACTGGAAATTCAAAGAGTAGGTCCTCAACATCAAGCTGGTTCCGATGCTCTTCTTACTGGCATGGTTTTTTTTAAGATGAGAGAAGTACGTAATTCTATTTAATCAATTGCAATTTATTAAATAATCACATAATCACTAATAATTCGTTTTTAATTTTATACCAGATGTTTTTTGAAGATAATATTGATGATGCGAAATACTGTGGGCACTTATACGGTTTGGGAACATCATTTGTCGTAAATGGGTCTGCTGGCGGATATTTGGACGCAAATGGAGATAATACTTCGACTGCGTAATGTTAAAAAAAAAATCGTAAGAGAAAAAAAGAGAGAAGAGAAGGAAGAGGGAGAGAGAAAGAGATTATTTCATTATCAATAAAACGTTATAAAAAAATCTTTTCACTTAGTGATGAAGTGTATGGTTCATATTCACGATATTACATTGACATTATTGCTGTAGGTGTCACATGAGATACAATTTAGACACATCTCTTTCAGATCTATGCGTCCACATTTTTTTCTTTTTTATTCTTTTGGATCCGCAACTCCTTTTGTAGATTTCTTCTGTGATACGTACCACCAATCGAAAATATATTTACAACGTCGAACAACATTAACAAAAAATGTAATATAGTTTTTGTTTGTACACATTTGGACAATATTGATATACAAGATACCATTGCAGTACAAAAATCCTATTTCCCTTACTTTTAAGATCTTTGCGGTATACATATCTAAATATGTATATATATATATATATATGTATATATGTGTATATGTATATATATATGTGTATATATGTGTATATATATATATATGTATATATGCGTATATATATACATATATATGTATGTATATATATCGTATATCTCTCGAATGATGCATACAGAAACCGCTTAATACCGTGTAACCAAACCAAACATAATGTGCAATTTGATGCATTAATTATTCTGGTTCGTCTGTATTCTCAAAAGAATACCGTTTCTCCTTATTCGTTTATTTATAAAATAAATAATCAACTTTCATAACTAAATAACTATATGTTAACTACGTGATTGAAATATTTCTTAAATATTTTAGAAAAAAAATTTAACAGTTTATGCGCACCAAACTGAATTAATGCATTCAATTGTACATCTTACATTATATATCTATCACTGTTGATACGTATATTTATTCTATGATACATTTATAGCGCGATACATTTTAAGCACGAGAAATTCGTATACATTTTAGAAAACTGAAAGAAAAGAATACAGAGTTTTTTTCTTTTTTGCTTTTAAGTTGAATTATGTAAACTATTGATATAAGGATCATACATTTTTATTATACGTATAAAAAGATATTCCGGCGTGAATGATGCATTCGTGTAAAAAGTATCATAGGCGATATGATTTTAAAGACGAGGTATCCTTATAATATTTGCTATATATACTGCACTCGTTTTATTGTAAAACATGTCCGTAAGAAATAAAGAGAGAAAGATTTTGGTACATTTCCGAACTAATCGTACTAAGGATATTTGCTTTGTAAATAACGGACAGTTGCAAAAGCTGAATAAATAATTTGCCTCTGAAAACACATCGACTATATGTGCAATATATATATACATACATACATATATATATATATATATATATATATATATATATATATATGTATGTATATATATTTTTAAATTATACATATGCATATTCAAAGTGTTTCTTCTAATTCGAGCATATGCATTGAGCATTTAGATCGATAAAATCGGTAGTCATCCGCCTTCAAAGAAATATTATATCTATTAAATAAATTACGCATGGATGCAATAATAAGTTACATTGATATAGTTACTGACTAAATTATAATCATATACAGGGTGTTTCACACTCTCCTCTGGGATTTTGTGGGGACGTAGAATGAGTTGATGTGAACATAAAAGTCCTATGCCGTTTTGCGATATTCGCAATAATTATCCAGATATTGTAGAAAATTTGTGAATGATCATGCAGGATATAGTAAATAAGTTATATGAATAGCGACGACTGCCGTCATGTATTTTAGGTTAAATTGAACAAAAAAGTCCTCTACTATTTTGCAAATAATCGCATAGATTTTTAATTATTAATTAAAGAAGATGAATGCATTATCACGCAAAATCGTGCAATAGTTTTCTTTAATTAATAATTAAAAATCTATGTGATTATTTGGAAAATGGTAGAGGATTTTTTTGTTCAATTTGACCTAAAATATAAGTACACGACGGCAGTCGTCGCTACTATAACTCATTTACCATATTCTGTATGATCATTCACAAATTTTCTACAATTAATATCTCGATAATTATTGTGAATATCGCAGAACGGTATAGGACTTTTATGTTCATATCAACCCATTCAAATATATATATATATATATATATATATATATATATATATATATATATATATATATACACATATAATGTATACAGGATGTCTGGTAATTCATGAGAGCCGCGGTGTATAGGTAGATTAGATGAAGCAAGAACAAAAAATGTCTCTACCATTTTGCGAATGGTTTAACCACGTAAAATTTTGAGTTATCAAAGAAGATTCGTGAATGATTACGCGCCATACGGTATATGGCGACGGCATATTGTGATAGCGACGTTTATCACTATATGCTTGTATATTAGATCAAATTAAACAAAAAAATTCTAATTTTTCAAATAATCACATAGATTTTTAGTTATTAAAGAAGATTTGGGCGTTATTGTGCATAATCGTGTAACAATTTTATCAATTGGTTTAATGATTTGATCAGCAATTATATCAATGTAGCTTATTGTTGCACTGATGCGTAATTTGTTTAATAGATACAATATTTTTTTGAAGGCGGGTGACTACCGATTTTGTTAATCCAAATGCTTGTTTTCTCAGTGCTCGAATTAAAGGAAACGCTTTGAATATATATATATATATATATATATATATATATGTGTGTGTGTGTAATTTTTTAAATATATACATTTTTTATTTGAAATCGCAAACAATCCCATTTAGTTTAAAAGAAAGATTGAGAAGTTCCGTTATATGCATTATACGTAAGAGAGGATACGCCCTTCTTGTAAGTGGGACGTGCGGGATCTTTACTTTCCCGTAGCGTTATAACCTACGTGTAGGAGAGATAATATACCTTATCATGTTAGAGTCGATGATATCAGTATCGCCGTTATCACAACTTGTTACCTCGAATCTCAGTTCAGTTTCATCGTGCATGCTAGAGTAATTAGATCTTAACGCCAACGCTGTCACGAAAATGCGACTTCGAGCGTCGCGGAAAGTGTTCAATTGCATTTGCGCGCCATCGAAATGGGTCGTTCTTCTCGTATGTTTCCTCTCATTAGCGTCGGGCAATGGGACATTCAAAAGTGCATTCGGATTGAATTCGGCCGAGTCGATGGAGACCTACAATGCGGAGAGCGCTGAGCTATCGCCGCAGGACGAGAAGACGTTAGTGAAAATACCTCTGGAGCTCGAAGAGTTCGTCACTGAGAAAGCAGACCCAATTCCCGATGAGAAAAAGAGCAAGACAAATCCGGCCCAGGTTTTGCCAAAAACTGAAAATGCTTTTACATCGAAAGGTAGCTCAGAAGTAGACAGTTTACCCGACGTTCAGACCATTTCCGATAAAATGACAGGCGAAAAAATTGAAAAATATATAAGATACGGTAAGTAATTCATTATCAGTGTGGGCGTGACCATATGTCGTAATGTATATAACATCCAGGAATAACGCGTACGTACAATCCATACAAATGGCTCTTTTTTGTTTCAAAACGCGTACTTTCATTAAAATATTCGTTCTCCGGAAAAGCTGTAATAACCCATTCAACGCAAGTCCCATATTTAAGATTACCTTTAGAGACAATCTATATCAGACCTTATCGCTGTGTTTATCAGTTACTCACTTTAACGTGAGTCGGAGGTGTGAATCATTAGATATCACGAGCCATTTTTATGATAGTATATGCTCATGTGGAATTCACACTGTTGATTTTCATTTGATAAAACTTCTATTGGGAATTCGTTGGAATATCAGTAATACAAAGAATTTTTATATATTTTATGTATCCACTTTCAATAATGCTTTCTTTTCAGGCTTTCAAATTCTGATTACTGATATTTCACTTCGTTAAATTATTTCTAATGATATTTTTTCATCGATACCGCGGCATACTTGCAGATTCGGATTCACCCGAGGCTGACAGATACGCGCCTCGTCCAGAGGACAGTCCGATTGTTTATACAATAACAGAAGATCGGTTGAGACATATTCGATCTAAATTCATGTACTGGTACTTTGATAAGAGTGATAAAGATAATGATCATGGAGATTACCAAACAGCACTACAAGCAACAACGTTACAAATTCATAAGAACCTAAACTTCCAATTGCCTTTCTTCGGATTTAGATTTAATTATACAAGAGTACGATCATATTTATATATATATATATTATTATTTGTTCTTCTTCATAATTTATTTATAACTACACAAAAGAAATCTTTTTTCTTTATTGAATGTACAGACATTTGAGTGCATCGAATTGAAATCTGAATTCGTGATTTGGATGTCTGGCTATCTCATTAGTTGGAAGTCGCTTGTCAGCGAGTATTTAATGAACCGCGTAACGTTTTAGTTAACCGTTAACGGATATCTGGAGTTTAGCGATCCACCGGCACACTTCACGTATCCCCTCGTTTTCCCGGTGAAAGATTGGCCCATGAAAAACGATCCGAGCTTCATCGGTATCTTCTTCAGCAAATGTCGTATAGGCAAATTGAGAGAGACAGACAGCGATAGAAGGAAACCGGGCGTTTATTTTAGGTAATGCGGAAAGATCGTGCTTTTCAACACTTTCGTAACATAAGGTTAAGACTCCTGCGTCGTCATCGCGGCTATACTGATTAATGACGTCAGAAACAAGAAAATGTATGCTTAAAATTCTTGCAAAATTCTTGCAAGTAAAAAGGAAAGGAGTATGTTGAAAACTGGACGAAAATGGAATCGAGAATTAATAGTTTCATTCGATTGTTCTCGTCAAGACAATTTCAACGATAGGTAAAATGGGATCAGCTTGATAGTGACGCACGGAGAAAAATAATTTTGTTCTTTTAACAAAATCGTCGTTGCTACTATATATTCGTAGTGACATCAAACAAATTTAGTTGACGTAACTAATTTTACAAATTATTCGTTATCAGAGCAGAAGTAGTTTCGTTGTCAGGATAGAAAAATTTTGTTGAGTGTATTTGCCCTAAGAATTACGTTAATTTGTTATTGATGCAAAATAATATATCCTTAGCAAATTTATTTACTATCGGAGCAAAACTGCAACTGCTTATATAAATCCATCATGGTTATATAAATCCATCATGGTTCTTACAGCAAAATAATTTGTAGATCCAGCAAATTATATCCAGCAAATAGCGATTAGTACTCTTAGCAAATCTTTTTGCTGTTCATATAATAACGAAAAGATTTTGCTAGACTAGCAGAAAATTTACTGACCCAGCAAATTATTTTTCTCCGTGTGACAATCAAAATGGCTAGCGAAGTTAAGTTCTCTAAGATGTCGGTGGCGCAGTGGTAGCTATTGGTCAACAGCCCACACGGTCGCGGGTTCGAATTACGATCTCAATGTGACTAACTTGGTTTTATTTTTTTAATTTTTATGACTCAAATAGCCGAAGTACAGTTACTTTTCAATGGCCAAAACATGTACGTGCTCCGGACGCTGTCCTGAGCTGCGCTGTTCACTTTATAGTATCTAACTTCACTAGCCATTTTGACTGTCATAACCATCGAGTTGACTTCATATGTTACTTAATGTTGAAATTGTCTTGACAAAAAATCGAATTAAACCATTAATTCCCGGTTTCATTTTTGCTCAGCTCTCAACATATTCCCCATAAATAGCACAGATAATTAAAAAAGAATTCAGTCGTATGTCACCAATTCTGAATTTATTGTCAGATGCAAAAAGAATTCTTCAGAGTTTACTTCAGTGAAAAGAATTCTTTTTGCACCTAAAAATGAACTCAGAATTGGTGACATACGATTGAATTCTTTTTGAATTCTCTATGTTATCTGAGTCCTTTCCGAAATATTTTACAAATATGTTTAATCGATCCCAAGTGTTACCTTATGGGTATATCCTCTTATTTAAACGTATTTTACAAGAATTTTAGACATTTTTCTCGCTTCTGACGTCATCAATTAAGTTAATTAAAAATATTCCATAGCGAAAGAAATTTATGATATACTCTCATATAGTATCAAAATCATATAGTATCAATGTTATTATTACTAACCAAAGTAACACGTGTTATTTAAGAAACGTTTCCGATATGTTTTACAAACGATAATGAAACGTTACATACATTTATAAAACATATATACGTTTATAAAACCAACATGTGCTCTACCAGGGAAGATGTTATTATAATATCTCAGTAAATTAATTTTTTTGTATGGAATTACAATGTTGTAGTAATTTTCTCTATCGAAAAGCATCACATTAATACTACTGAAGCGTTAGCTTAAGATGATAAGATAGTTGTATTTTGATAGATATTAAAATAATATTATTTCAATCACAAAACAACCTTGAACTAACCAAGAAAATCTTGTATTAATACTCGAGTTTAAGTTTCATTAGTCCTAGAAAGTTACCTTTTAAGATTATGATAATATCACTATCATCTTTACATAATTAAAAGCTTTTTAAGTTTAATATTAGTGTAATATTTTTGTGCTATATATATAAATTTATGTCACTTCTCAGACTCGAGAGAGATTTACAAGGCAGAACCGATCAGTTCGGCGTGGAGATGCGAGAACGCCTTATGTGGGACATTCGCGAAGGTGTTGTTGGTTCGGATTCCTTCGTACCTAAGCACGCAATTATAGTCACTTGGAAGAACATGTCCTTTACGGGTGGCATCGACACGGCGCTTTACAGGACTAACACGTTCCAATTAGTATTGGCTACCGACGAAGTCTATACTTACGCTATGTTTAATTACCTCAATTTACAATGGTCGAGTCACACGGAAGCAGGTGGTGACACTACTCAAGGCGAGAATGGAGTGGCCGCATACGTAAGCAAAACATTCTGTGAAACAATTCCTAATTAAAATAACAAAAAATATATTAAAAATAAAATAATAATATTATAATAATATTAAATATTATATTAAATATTTATTATAATATAATATTATAATAATATATTATTAATATATTATTATATTTAATATAATATTAAATAATATTATATAAAAATTGCTGATGTTATGTGTTAATCACATGTATTTTTAATAACAAAGTGAATACCTTTCAAAATACAGGACGTTTCGACTAAAGTCCTAGATTTACAGAGAGCCGATAATAAGATTTGATGTAACGAAAGTCGCCATCGGCTACGTGTAGTATATATGTCAAATTAACTTCAATGTCTATCCTAAGTAGGGATATTCATATTATAATTAGTTTGAATTTGCGTTATAGTTCTGCACGTTATAACTCTGCACATATAGAAATTACTCTTCATTAAATTATGATACACTAAAAATAATAAAAATATATAACTTACTGAAAGTATCATATACTTATTACTCGCTGTGGAAACAATATGGCACTTGAGCTTCATGATTCAGATAGTCCATGAAATGAAACTTTTCCATATCGTCTTTCTGTAAATCTAAGACTATAATTCTGAGCATATGATATTATTTTCACAGCTATGTATAGCATAATACAAATTATCTTCGAATATATAGAAACTTTATTACAAATATAAAAAGTTATATTGTATGGGTTAGCTAACGAAACCAGACAACACAACGTTTAAAATCGGGACATAAGACGCCTGAAAGATGTCTTAAAAACGTCTCTCAGACGTCGGAATATAAGACGTTTTTAAAACATCTGATGTCCCTATTTTAGATGTTGTGTTAAAAGTGATACTTTCATTCTCAGAGATTATGCTAAAATATTTAAAACATTAAGATTTTTTTAGAAAATAACAAAATAAAAAATGAGTACAACTAAGTTTACCGAAGATAAAATGTAAATATATAGTTAGCACATGATATCAGCAATTCGGCTTTTATCCTAGACATTTTCGTTATTTAGATTTTAATCTTGGAGTCTTAATCTATTTATCAAAATTATTTCCTAATCAAACAAATTTAATTATACTCTACTCTCTTAAAGTGAATCAGTGAGACATTATTGAAAGCAGTGAATATACACTGATTTGCAGTTATAAGTATAACACTGAAATTGTTCAGTGCTATGATTATAACTGATATCAATTTATTCACTGATTATTCACTGATTCACTTCAAGAGAGTAGTTGATTCAATTCTATGTAATCGCGTAAAACTGTTCGCACTTGAAGTAATTCGATATTCCATGACGGCGATAAACAATATTTCCGCAAATGAAATTTGTCCGGCGCGATAAATTGAATGTGTTAAAAAATCCCTGGTCTCAGGTGGGTTTTAACGCTGGAAACGGTACTCGTAGCTACGAGTATAAGCCTTACTCGCAAGTGACTACAGTCAGGGACTTAACGAGCAGAGGATGGGCGAACGGTTTTCCAGGTCGACATATTTTCAGAATAGATGAAAATATAATGTTGGGCAACTGCAATAAAGATACTTGTAAGAATACGAAACTTGTTTAACGAAGCATTGTGAGGTCAGCGCGTCAATTTTCTTAATGTGTTTTATTTTCTTAATGTGACGATACATAGCTGGAGCTCATATACCATTGGTTTTCGCTCCGGAGAGCGGAAACATGCTGGGCGGCACCATCGTCAACATCACTGGTCCATGCTTCAACGAAACCCAAAAAATCATGTGCTATTTCGAAGACGTCATGGTGATAGGCACAGTGGTAGACAGAAATCGTGCGATTTGCGTGCAGCCGCACTTGAAGTACGAAGGCTATATACGTTTTCTTGTCAGTCTCGCTAACAACAACGATAATAACAAATGGAGGGGCACATACTTTGTTGGTAAGATATTTCATATTTCAAACTTTATTAGCGTTGCGTCCGTCTTCGATATATTTTCAATCGCATTTAACCGTATTCGCGATCGTATCGCAAGACACAATAATATAGCAGGGTTGAGCGTTTACACGTAAATTATGATACTCCATGTTTACGTGTAGACGTATAAATGTAAATTATATGTGAGATATTACCATACATGAGATAATGAATAATCTATACTATAAAAGAAGATCGGTTAGAACAAGTAGAATCGAGTTAAGCAAACTTGAATTTTTGGGTTGTACGTGGCGAACTAATTGCTTTAAGGAGACTAGAGGGTTAGATTTCCTGAAAATCGTGCTTGTTCTTTCACAATTTTTTATGACAAACTGAATGAATATGCGAAAGTGTTATTTTGACGTGTATTTATACAAAATATAAAAAGAAGGAAAATATAATTTTGATGATCAAATACTCAATATAAGTGTATGGTACATGCAGTTAAAATATATTTCGTTTTTCTTTTCAAGGTCGTCATTTTATAGTAATATCTTGATTCTCGGTGGTTCAATTAAGCTAAACTTTAAGTAGAAAATTTCCGTAAGCTTATCGTATGAACCACTATAATAGAAATTGAGTTAAAAGTTAATAAAATTGCAAATATCTTAATGGAATATTATTAAATTTTCAGTTCTTTTATAATAAAAAAATTAATATCAAGTATAAAAATTAATTTCAAAATTAAATATTTTCACGAGTTTGTCAGTGGTTTACCCGATAACGACAAGCTTACAAAAATTTTCTACCTAAAATTCAACTTAATTGAACCATTGAGAGTCAAGATATTACTGCAAAATAATGGTCTTGAAAAGAAAAATGAAATATATTTTAATTGTATGTACCATACACACACACACACACACACACACACACACTTATATTGAGTATTTTATATATACATATATATACACACACACACACACACACACACACTTATATTCAGTATTTGATCATCAAAATTATATTTTTTTGCTCTTTATATGTTGTATAAATATACGTCAAAATAATATTTTCGCATATTCATTTAGTTTGTCATAAAAAAATTGTGAAAAAACAAGCACGATTTTCAGGCAATCTGAAGTTCATTTTCAGGCAAACCTCCAGTCCCTTTAATTCTTTCAGAATAATTTTGATGTTTTTGCAATCTCTTATTTGTATCAAATGAGTTAAGTATTCAGCAGAATTCATTAATTATAATGTTGATTTGATTATTTCGAAAAGTAATGGTAACCAAATAACTTGTTAAATGTAATAACAGGTAAAACTTTTCTCCCAAATTGGATGAGTTACATTATCAAAGAGAATAATGTAATATTTCATTAAATATTTTTCCTTTATATAAGTGAAAGTAATGTATCATAATGTAATATTTCATTAAATATTTTTCCTTTATATAAGTGAAAGTAATGTATCATAATGGACTGATTTGATTTTGATTTAAACACTGTTTATAAACTAGTTTATCATTTAGAAATTATTACTAAAATAATTAAATAACTGTTATAATTTAACAATAAAAAAAAGCATAATAGCTAACAATCGAAGGTGCCAACAGACAGAAAACGACGGAATTGTACAGTCAGGTCTCAAGCAGTATATATAGTCGTATATCAAATAAAGCTTAAAATGATAAAGCTTTCTCGCCTATATCTCGCCGCAATGAGAATTTATCTAGCAAGAGAGATTGCTAACGCAACATATCGATAGTCATTGAATGGTGTATTCGAACTCTATACATTGTAACTTATTCAACAATCTTAAGAAAACTGTTGTATAATGATTTCTTTTAGTTGAACAAATCTCGTAAAATTATCGTCCAATTATCTCGTCCAATTATCAAATCATTAGTTTATTGTGCTTATCGTCTAATTTACTTAACCTTCCATCCAGAGGTAGAATTACTTATATTATGCAATTAAATCAATTTTTTCGTTAGTTGAAAGAACATTTATAGTGTATATATATAACTAAATATTCTAGTTTCTATTAAATTTTTACTTTTGATTACATTTTTTAGTTGAAATTCCTATAGTTTATTGTTGAGCACTTAATTTTTATTCAATTTGATTCAATAGTTGATATAACCAAATTTGCTCAACCTATATATTTGGTTCGTTTTATCTGTTTTTTTCAGTGCATATTTTTTCAATGTAGATTTCAATGTTCAAATATTCAGAAAACTTTATATTTTTATTAAAATCTTAGAATTTTAATTATTCTTATCCAAAGAAAGTTAAATTTACTAGTTTGACATATCATGAAATAAAAATTTCATGTAATATGTTGTCCCTCTTAAACATTACATTTATAATTAATATCTGGAACTGTTTCATAATTTGATAACTTTTTTTATATTTTATTTATATTTTTTTATATTTTATATTTTTTTATATTTTAATATAATTTGTAATATTATACATAATTTATATTGTCTATTTAAAAAAACAATAGTATATACATTATGTAAAAAAACACATAAAAAATTTATGTAGACATAACTTTGAAATCTACACAATTCTATAATGCAAAATCAGTATCCGTCGTGTAATTAGGAATTATATTAAATTAGGCAAAACATTTTCTACCATTTTGCCAACAACTACTTTCAATTTTGAGTTATTAATTAAATTTAATTAGATTATCGAGTGATCGCGTGCAATACGATGAATGAGTTCTATGGAAGCGATATTCCAAACCTCTACTCACCGCTTGTAACGTTACATGTCCCTCGCTGGCAATCAATTAGCAAGAGACGAGTGAGGTGTTCAGATATCTCTATCATGGAGCTAATCTAGCACATTGCGCGTGATTCGTTAATTTTCTTAAATTAACAACTCAAAAATCAACATTGTTATTTGTAAAATGGCAGAAAACTCCTTTGTTCAATTTGATGTAATGTATAAGTAATCGACGGATATCGTACTTATCGTCGAACATTCTGTATACTTGTTATTCTTCATGAGATCGCACGAAACTTACGTTTCTCAGAAACCCCAGCCACAGCGGCGATGAAGATCTTCTTCAACGATAAAGATGCTGTTCACATGAAGGATCCTGCGGAAATTAAAATCACGTGGGACGCCTATAATTTGACCAGTAACTTCGGCGCAGGTGTTCAGATCTCGCTATGGGGATACAGGGAAGTCAAAACCACACCCGAATTCGAGTTTATCACGTTGCTGGAGGTTTGTATAGGATTATCTGATGTGCGCGACACAAGGAATAATGATAGATAAAATGGTGTTACGCGCGTTTCAGAAAGCACATACCAATACCGGTAGCTACGTCATCAAGCCAGCCAGATACCGGGAACAGTACAACCCATATCACTTGGATATGATCTTCGGCTTTTTACAAATCAACTTGACCGAGCCGCATTTGTACTCCGGACTCTCGATATCACCGTAGGTGGCTCATGAAAGAAAACCACTTTCTACTCTCCCTCTCGGTGACTTGGATAAGTAACAGGTTTTGAACTTCTATTTTACGCAGGAGCTTGTGGAGTAGACCGATACCACTTGGTTGGTACTTCGGTCCGCAATGGGAACGAATGTACGGCTCGAAGTGGTCTCAGAAGCTTTGCGATCAGTGGATTATGAACGACAGATATCTCAAAAACTTCGCCGCCGAAGTAGCAATCTGTCCTTGCACTTTGGAGCACGCTTTAAATGATAAAGGCCGTTTCCTTCCCGATCTTGACTGCGACAAGGATTCGAATATAGAATGTTTTTACAACAAGCACGCAAAACACTGCGTGAAGACGGGTGCGCCCAAGTGAGTGATTTAACATTTATTTCGTAGAAACCAACTTATCGTTTGCCGTGTCATATCTAAAATAAAGTCTACGAGATTCATGATTCATCCTTCTCCTCCCCTTTCTCCTCGTCGTTTCATTCTCACTCATTCATTGATTCATTCATAATTTACAACTGATTGATTGTCTACATATATAGGGTGGTCCACATAACTCTTTACTTTTACAAGGTGAACATTTTGAATATTTAATAAATTGAATAAGTCTGAGCAGAGTGCTGTGATTTTGACCTTGTGTGATTGCTCGCGAGCGCTTCATGTTGCTACAAATTAAAATTCCACAGTCTTTTTCATAGAAACATCTGACAAAAAAGTGTTTCGGAGAAAACTAGATTGTTTTCTCTCATAGAAGTAAAAAAATTTAATTTTTCACAAAAATTTTCATTAAAAATTTTAAAATTAACTCCCCGTCTCTTATCCATAATCTCTCATCCGTCTATTTTAAGATTAAAGATTTTTCAAATCCATAAGTCTTGAATCCAAACACAAATTCAAGAACTATATCTTTAAAATTAATGAAATATCAATGAGAAAAAATCCATTTCCGAGTTATTGAGCTGTAAAAAGTTACGTGGGCCATCCTGTATTGAAATAAAGTTCCGAAAAAAATTATACTCTCTTAAAATGAATCAGTGAATAGTCACACTAAGAGAAAAATTATATTAAAATCGACAAATTTTTCCTTGATGGATGCCATTAACATATTTACTTAAATCTACATTCTCTTTATTTAAACCAAATATTGTTTATTTAAATCAAGTAAACAATATTTGAGTTAATTAAAGAGAATGTAGATTTAAATAAAAGTTAATGGCACCCATCAAGAAAATATTTGTTGATTTTAATGTAATTATTTTCTCAGTGCACTGATATCAGTTATAAGTATAGCACTGAGCAATTTCAGTGCTGTATTTATAGCTGCAAATCAGTGTATATTCACTGCTTTCAATGTTTTATTTGAAGAGAGTACGTTTGCGCTTTTCAGCATGGATGGCTCCGAGCAACAATGTTGTTACGACAAGTTGGGTTATCTAATGCTGACTTACGACCAACAATGGGGTTCGCGACCGCACCGGTCTCACAATTTGGGCTACATACCGTGGAACGAAGCCAACAAGGTACCAACTTTGTCGCATTGGTACCACGACATGGCGCCCATGTACACGTGCTGCCTCTGGCAAGAGGAGCAGGCTGTCGGTTGCGAGACTTTACGATTCGAGAGGAGGCCGTCGCAAGATTGCATTGCCTATCAAGCACCTGGAGTGGCGACAGTGTTCGGTGATCCTCATATCGTCACGTTCGACGGCCTGGAATACACGTTCAATGGCAAAGGCGAATTTGTTCTGCTGCGAGTGAATCACATCAAAGACAAACTCGATGTGCAGGGTAGATTCGAGCAACTTCCTCACAACGCCTACGGTCCGGTGCCGGCGACGCATCTTACCGCAGTAGCGAGTAAGTTTCTATTATGCGATTTTTTTACGAGAATGACTTGATATTCGTAATGTGGAGATATTTAATATCAATTATTTTGAATTATTGCAATTAGTTTTTGGGTAATTGCAGTAACAGGCAATAGTTAGATAAGCAAGAGTTAGATAATGACTAATTAATCAATTAACTTTAAAATAAACTTAATTTTAAATTAGTTCACCTTTAACTTAAACTAGTTATCTTAAAATGAATTAACTTTAACTTATTATTTTCATGTTAAAATCATTACAGACTGCTTATACACAATACAGAATACGAGAATTAAGTATAATGCCAGCAGAATCCATTTTCGTCTCTTTGAACGTTTGTGTTCCTTTCCGGTATGAAATACTAAACATGAAACAGTTAGATTTTTTTTATAAAAGATTACATTTCCATTATTTCACGTAAATTTAACCTGCGATTAAGAGATTAATTATGCAAAAAAAAATATAATTACCTTTTAACTTTAATAAATTAAATAAATTTAACTTTTAAGTTAGGTTTTGTTTATATAACTTTCTACTTATCTAAGTTAATTTTATAAACTATTAATTTCAAACTTAATTTAGTTTAAGAAAATCTGCTTATCTAACTCTGCGAACAATAAGCAAAGGATTAAAGAAAGAATAGCGTGCAATATATTTATATACCATCATAAATATTATACAGAAAGAAATATTGAGTCAATCAAAAAATTTGATTTTTTAATCAAATTTGACTTTATTAAATAGGAATTATTCACCAATAGAAATTATTCACCAATATAGTAATCGTATGTGGCGATAGTTTATAGACGAGGACGACAATTATTTAGTTGACGAATAATTTGCTTCCGTTGAATACAACAAGGTTAAGTTTGACTAAAAAATTGAAGTAATCCTTTTGACTGATCTAATATAATATAAACATAAAAAGGAAATTGAATCCTTTATTGGTCGATTTTTAATGAATATATTGATTTAATCTAAATAATTGTCGGATTTGAGAATTATAATCTGAGAGAACTCCTTTTATTTGTAACGTCAATTGTGATTTATGGAATATAATTGTGGATATCTCCTGTTTTTTATCTATATAGTGAGAGGCAATAATTCCGAAATCATCGAAGTTCGCTTGAGACACAAAGACGCGCAGTGGAGATATCGGCTCGATGTTCTCGCGGGCGGTAAGAAAGTATACTTCGACAGACCAGCCTTGAAGTTTCAGCATTTCTCCGGTGTCCTTGTTTATACACCGACATATATTTTAAATCAAAGCGAGGTTATTGTCATGTTTGACACAGGCGCCGGTATGGAGATCGTGGAGAACGAAGGTTTCTTATCCTTGCGAACGTATTTGCCTTGGTCGTATATGGTAAGTAATAAATACTACTTGTTGCTATTTGGCTTTCTTATTATTAACCCTTATTGTGCATACTTCAGTAGAATTACATGATGGGCACATTGGGGTCTTTCGCGACTCCAGCTATAAAAATGTTTGCTGCAATAAAATTATTCGCTTTTTTTATTTGAAAAAATTCCAAGATACATTTCAAACATCTTTTTATGTGACGGAATAATTTTTCTAGACGAAATTTGATTTTAAATGAAGAAAAAAAATTGGAAAGTATAAAAAAAAGCGAAAAATTACTTGATTTGCTCCAAAAGTCATAACACAATTTTTTATATTTCAAGGTAAAATTTTAAGAAACTACTCTCAAGACATGTCTCTTTAAGAAAAAAATTAGTGCAATAGCAGATTTTTCAAAAAAGGTATTTATTTTGAATATCGAAATTAGGATTTTTGTGAAAAAAGGCAAACAGTTTTTCCAAAATATATAGATTTAATTTATTATATTTTATTTTATTTTTTATTTTATTTTATAGATTTATTTATTTTTTATTTTTTTCTGGGGTTTTTCCACAGTGCACAATAAGGGTTAAATATCATTAAGAATTACATCCGCGCAATGTAAAATTAAAAGAGATTCTTTTCCTCCATTGTATAGAATAAAACTAAAGGCCTATTCGGTAATTGGAATTTCGATATTACGGACGATTTGATGACCCCGAATGGATATCGAGTACCAATAAACAGTGTGAATCATTCGGAAACAATTCACAAAGATTTCGCAATACACTGGATGCTAGAAGATAATGCGAATGAACTCGTAGGGAATGCTTTATTCACCAGGGACTTTGGTAGATTGTCGAGTTTTTACTCTAATCGCAGTTTCGTGCCAGAATATCGAAAGTATCCGAAAGAGATACTTCCGGTGAATAGAACGAAGGACATCTTACGTGCGAGTGAATTGTGCGGCGATTCGTACCAGTGTCAGTACGACTACGCAATGACTTTAAATCGGGATTTAGCACATTTTACCAAAAATTACTATGACACTTACAGCAAAATAAGAGCGTCAAATAGCAAAGAAGGTAAGCAGTCATGGCTATATTTCTCAGATCTGCACAGTTCGTAAATCGAACCATTCAAACAAATAAAATAACTGGCTTGTAGTGATCGTAAACTTACGTACATAGACCGGACATTTTACAGGCTTTGTGAAGGCTGGATCTGAAATCTTGTTAGTGCAAATTTCAATCTTTACCTAAATCCCTTTGTCTCAATCCTTATTAAACTTCGTTTAGCTTATTCTAGGAAAAATCAAGCTAGACAAAGTTCGAATGTCTGTGAACAGCGGAAGGAAAATATAGCCGCTCTTCAAATCTTGTCGTCAAACTTCTTATAAGAAGACGCAGTCTTTATTCTGATGTTTTCTTTTATCGATAAAAGTGCCTATTAAAATACTTATGAGCTGATTAGAAAGTTTATAAATCTCATGTTTATCGATGAAAGAAAGCTCAGAATAAAGACCTATGTATTAGGTGGTAAACTTAGTTCCTGCGGTTCTTTTGTTTAAAAAACTCATTTATTTCGACATCAAAAGCAAAAAATACATTAATCGAAGTATTTTCCCTCGCCAGCTATACATTTTTCCCATCTTTCGGGCAACGCGTAGATTCCGCGACGATAGAACGATTGGTCTTTTGATGCAATCCATTCGTCGATCCATTTTCGCACATCCTCGTAATTTCTGAAGTGTGTATCCACCAAGCCGTGCTGCATCGACCGGAACAAGTAATAGTCCGAAGGAGCTAAGTCTGGTGAATA